GTCTAAAGCTCAAATTTCACAGCTTTCCGAGCTCAAACGAATCCAGAATAAAAATCACAAGTTTCTGGTCGAATTTTTTTTTATTTTTTTTATTTTTCGATATAACTACTAGTTATGAGGGACTCAAATCTGAATCTTCAAAGCAAAAAGATGTAAGATGAATCGGCTATGAATTTTCAAAGTTGCTGATTTTTTTGAATTTTCAAGAAGGGTGGTGCGATGAGTGTGTGGGTAAAATCGATGTGATGAATGATGAGTAAAAAGATAGATTTACCGATTGAAGATGATAAACCTAAGCTCTGATACCAATTGATAAGAATCTAGTTGTAATTGGTCCAAATCCACCTTAGAGACCCGCCTAAGATTAACTTGAATCACCAAACTTCTAGATGTGTATGTCGACAATCTTCACTTGATAAATCTTCCTTCGTTCGTCGGCCTTAGACCCCCAAGTCGACCTGCACTTGAACACCTAAGATCACAAGATTCACAAACAATTAAGCAATCACAACCTAATTGCTTGCTAGGACTCTACAAGATTGAAGAACCCTAAGTTTGCTCAAAGTAGAACAATGAAGCCAAATAATCGATATGGGTGTGTAAACCTCTCAACTTTATTGATAACTTGACTTATGTTTACAAGAGATAAAAGAGCCCTTATATAGGGGAGGGATTGGCGCATAACCTACTCCGAACCCAAATCTCAATCCTATAAGGGGCGGCATAATTAAAAGGAAGGAACAAGGAAATAGCCTACTCCTTGTCCTACTAGGAAAAGTAAATAACAATACATAATTAAGCAAGGATTGGACTTAGTCAAACAAGGCCCAACCAAATGTCTTCTAGACTAAATAAACAACTAATCTAAGATAGAATAAAGGCCCCAATAGCCGAATTACACAATACTATGCCTAATGCTCATCGATGGATAACATGGTACACACCATGGAATCGTTTGGAATATTCCTTGGTGTGTGGTCTTCAAATCGACCCAATGAGTCTTCAATGGTCTTCAATCCTTCAAGATGAGATCTTATAAAGCCCACCAAAGCTTCCTTAAACCTTTTAGCCCGAGCCCTTATTATTTGACCCAACAGCATAGATAAAGGATCATGTGGTCGGGCATGGCTGAGTCGTTTGGCCGGGCATGTCCTTGTCGCGTGGCCGGTGATGGCCGGGCATCTCCAAGTGACGTGGCCGGTGATGGTCGGGTATCTCCAAGTCGCATGGCCGGTCACAAGTGCTTCCATCTCCATGCTCCTCCAAGCTAGCATCGATGACAACTCCATGATCTTCATTGGCTCCAAAGTGTTCTTCTATGCCATGATAAGCCCTTGGCGCATCATTGCCACCTACTGCTTGTTTTAAATCCAATGGCCCCTATTTACTTTCCAAATTTCTGTCTCTTCCTGTAAATGTGCTGAAAGACTGTGTGTAATTGCTTATGAGGCTCTCTGATGACCTGTACTTGCTTATATGGCTCTTTGATGACATGTAACTCTGTTGTGGAACCATGAACCAATGTCATTGGCTCTGTACTTGTGCCAACAGCATGTTTGAGTGTGTTTTCCACACTTGCACACACTTATTTAGAGACATTCTCTGTTGTACAGTGTCCTTGATGCCTATGGTATGCTTTGTTTTCCTGGCCATTAGATTTGCCACATTCTCAATTTGTATTCCTCTTTAACTGTCGAGATGTGCTCCTTGACTCTGACTTTGGTTTGCCTTATGCATTGGATCATTTTGCTGGACAAATCTCAGCATTACTGAAACTTGGACGACAAGTTCATGGTTAGCCCCCTGTTAATTGTGTTTCTCATTTGTCTCTTTGTGCTGACATGAAATTTTGCCTCTCCTAGATTGGCCTTGTGCTTAAATAGCTGTTAATACTCATGCTTTGTCCCCTGCCGTATACTCACTAATTCCCTTTTTGTTCAATACTGACTTCTATCCTCTAGATGGCACTAATATGCTTTTATATATTTTTTTGTTTTGCAGGATAAAAGGAGGAATTTTGGCAGCTCAAATGTGATGTCGGATTCACGTGTTTGACTTAGCTCTTAGCAAAGTGATTTCCTTGTCAATTTGGACTTGGTGAAATAGTGACCAACTCAAAGAAATTCAAAGAGAAGGGGCCCAAATGAATTTAATGACAAGAATTGGCCCAATTACAAAAGGACAAGGCCCAAGGCACAACATTATTATTATCTTTGATTTTTGATTTTTTAATTTTCTTTGCATTTCTGTAGAATGTAATTGACCCTTTTTCCTTTTGTATTTTTGTATTTTGTAAATAAATAAATGCGATAAAAGGACTTGGGTATTTATTTGTGAATGGGAAATTGGACCTTCTCAAGCAATAAAAGTCCAAAGGTCAATGTTCAACAAAATGAAAGTCCACCATATAAGGCCCAAAAGAGAATTTATCAAGATCCAAATATCATATTGTGATGGGAGGTCCAAGAAATCGCAAAGAACATATCCAAAAGTGAATGACCCAATTAGAAAAATGAATTAGAAGAAACCTAATGGGATAAAGGGAAATCGATATTTAGGAAATGAGGTAAAAAAAAATGGGTGTCTACAGCCGAGAACTTCGAATATGGACGATAACATGGGATTGAGATAACCCTAAATACCGCCCTAATAAAACTAATAAACTATTAAACAATCAAAATTTAGATTAATTAACAGTAGTTAATCATAAATTAACTAATTAAAACTAATAAAGTAAGTAATTAAATACTAATTAATTAAAAATTAATTTTTCAAAAAAAAAATTGGCTTTGCCGCTGAAAACAAAAAAAAAAACAAAATTTTTTTTTAAATTTTTGTCTCTAGATCTGGATTTCCATAATGTAAAGCTTACAATTTTGACTTTTAGGGTTTGAAGGCTAAGAGTTTGAAGAAGTTGTTAGAAAGTTTAAAATATGAACAAAGGGCAAAAGTGTAAAAAAGGGGACGATATTTAGTAAAAAGGAACCGTATTTAGCAATCCAGAAAATTCAGAAAATATTAACCTGTAAATAGAAAAAAATGTTTTTTTTATACTACTACTAGTACTATATATTCTACCTTGATTAACCCAACTACCAAAATATAATAGTACTAGTACTAGACTAGCTAGTAATAAAGAAAAGAAATCAAAGTGCAATTTGTCCTCTCTTCGCCCTCTCTGAGAATTCTTAGGCAAAACATAAGTACCCTTTCGGAGATCTCAAGGGTCTTAACCCTCGATGTTTCCGAAGTTGCCTTTTAACCTCTCTGTTTCCCCTTTCAGACTCCCAACCCATCTCTCTTTTTCAGTCCTTTCTCCTTTCTTTTTGACATAAATTCTCTTTTTCCTTTTATTTCTTCATTCAACGAATTTGAACAAAACTGTCAGAGAGAGATAGCTCTCATAGAGCAAAGAGTTTTATTAGAAATGGCTTCCTTTTCTTCAACGCATTGTCGTTCATATTCACATTCTTATTCTTATTCTTCATCCACAAATGGGGGGCAAAATCAACGTTTTGCTTTCTCTTCTTCATTTCCGAGATTGCCTGTTCCAGCTAAAGCTAAGGTCTTTCTTCAATCTCAAAGAAATTCCCATCAAAATGCTGTTCTCATGCAAGATGGTTGGTTTACTTCTGTTCTTTTATTTTATTCATTTATTGGTTCTCCCTACATTTTTTTTTATTTTTTATTTTATTTATGGTTTCTTTTAGCTTTGATATCTTGTTTGCTCTTCTTATTATGATTTGTTTTTGTTTCCTGATACAAGGAATTGTATGCAGATTTATGTTGGTCAAATTTTCAATTATGAGAATTTCTATTTTATGTTTGGGGGATCGAGAAAAGCCTTAACTTGAACAAGCAATTAGCTTAATTTTAATGGTAATATGGCTGATTTGTATGTTTTCCTGTGATTCAATGTTATATTTATAAGTGGTTTTGATGCCTAGGTGCCGTAGCCACAAAAGCAAATCCTGTGGAAAAAGAAACGCCTCTCAAAAAATTGAAAGATGAATTGCTGTCAGCCACATCTTCAGATGAATGGGATGAGAAAGCAGGTTTTGATATCAATGGAAATGAGTCAACTGTCAGTATCACAGTGGTTGGAGCTTCTGGGGACCTTGCAAAAAAGAAGATATTTCCTGCACTTTTTGCACTTTATTATGAAGATTGTCTTCCTAAGGTTCAGATATTTTTTTTTTCCTTTTGCTAACTTTTATTATTATTATTATTATATTTTTTTTTGGCAAAAGTTTCACTTTACTGTTGTCTTGTAAACTGCTTCAATGCCTAATATTGTAATTTAATTAGGTGTAAATGTGGATTATTTTGTTGCAGCACTTCACCATCTATGGTTATGCAAGGAGTAAGATGACCGATGCAGAACTTCGAAATATGGTGAGCAAGACCCTTACATGCAGAATTGATAAAAGGTGAATCGTTTTCTACATTTTGCTTGTTACATGAAAAGCTTGCACACTGCGAAAGTGGATCTGATTGTAGCCTTTAATTTTTAATAAAATATATAACTTTAATTGGATGTCATATGTTAATCCAGGGAGAACTGTGTTGAAAAGATGGACCAATTTCTTAAAAGATGTTTCTATCACTCCGGTCAGTATGATTCTGAGGAAAATTTTTCACAGCTGGACAAGAAGCTCAAGGAGCATGAGGTAATGAGTTTATGGTCCAATTAACTGGAACTTCATATCATTGTGGGGGCAGGCAGGGGTTGGGGAAATGTTGAAGTGAATTCTGGCTTGCTGCTTGTAATTATTCGGTTGAATGTTGTTAGGATGCAAAGAGCTTAGAACAAACTCTGTAAATGATTTATTGGGCACCATCTTACGTATTTCTCCATTCTGCATTTTTAAAGATGAGTCCAGTTGTTGCTAAAGCAGCTGAAAACTTTCTTTAGTGTATTTTTATTTTGTTGATTGCTTAGTTTCTAGTATTTTTGGTCTGATTCTAGTAGATAACCATGATACTTGTAGATAAGTGAGTTTCCATATATTTTGTTGACTATTAATTGTTCGACCAATCTTATGTTGTATATCAATGACTGGAGAATTGTTGCTTGTGCCCTACCATTGAATAGAATTAATTTAGCTATTAGTTTCCATTTATGGGCATTCAATTCTGTTTGACTTTGATGATGTGAAACTGGTTCTGCAGGATGGGAGAGTTTCTAATCGCCTCTTTTATTTATCTATCCCTCCCAATATCTTTATCGATGCTGTAAAATGTGCAAGCTTGTCAGCTTCATCTGGTAATGGTTGGACCAGGGTCATTGTTGAGAAACCTTTTGGTCGAGATTCAGAATCTTCTGCTGCACTGACAAAAGCCCTGAAGCAGTACCTAGACGAAGATCAAATATTCAGGTGGACCTTTTTGTTTAATGATTGGTGCTCTTTATGCAAAAGAATAGGAACTTTAATCTGACCAGATTGAAATTGTTTCTAACAGGATAGACCACTATCTAGGAAAGGAACTTGTGGAAAATCTATCGGTTCTGCGTTTCTCCAATCTTATTTTTGAGCCCTTGTGGTCGAGGCAGTATATTAGAAATGTACAGTTGATATTCTCTGAAGATTTTGGAACTGAAGGACGTGGAGGGTAATTTTCTTTCTGTTTATGATACTTACCATTTAGCTTGTTTAAGATTATGACATTGCTTCTATGTTGTTATCTAGGTATTTTGACCATTATGGAATAATTAGAGATATAATGCAGAATCATCTGCTTCAAATACTTGCGCTCTTTGCTATGGAAACCCCTGTAAGTTTGGATGCTGAGGATATAAGAAATGAAAAGGTAACCTGATGTGTGTTAATTGAAGATGTGATAGCAAGGTCGTATCTCTATTGTATGTATTTATTCATAAACTTCTTGCTGGGTGCCAGGTCAAGGTACTACGCTCGATGAGGCCTTTGCAACTTGAAGATGTAGTTATTGGACAGTACAAGAGCCACACTAAAGGAGGTGTTACCTACCCCGCCTACACTGATGACAAGACTGTGCCAAAAGATAGCTTGACCCCAACTTTTGCAGCAGCTGCTCTGTTCATAGACAATGCAAGATGGGATGGAGTGCCTTTTCTAATGAAAGCAGGGAAAGCATTACACAATAAGAGGTAAATGGAATTGGCACAGTAATTTGAATTAGTTTGTAATCTAGGGTTTGATTAGTAATACATGCATGCCACTAAGATTTTTTTCTCCATCAGGGCAGAGATAAGGGTACAGTTCAGGCATGTGCCTGGCCACTTGTATAACCGAAACTTTGGAACTGATATTGATCGAGCTACAAATGAGCTTGTCATTAGAGTGCAGCCAGATGAAGCTATTTATTTGAAGATCAATAACAAGGTCCCTGGATTGGGGATGAGATTGGACCGCAGTAACCTGAACCTTCATTATGCGGCAAGGTAAATCTTGATTGCCTTTATATTCATGAAGAAATTTAACATATTGCTGGTTTCAGCTATACGGTATCTGTACGATTAGTTACTCAGGCGGATTGCTTGTCTAATTGTATTATAAAGTTTTAAGATGTTGATGCAGAAGTTCATAATATAAGCTTCTTGTTATATTCATTAGATAACACATGATCATTTTAGCAAAAGAAAGACAGATTGTTATGTTCCTACATCACCTAATTTAGTGCTTACTTTGGTGTCCTACTGCTTGTTGTAGATATTCAAAAGAGATACCAGACGCGTATGAGAGGCTTCTGCTGGACGCTATAGAAGGCGAAAGGAGGCTGTTTATCCGAAGTGATGAGTTGGATGCTGCCTGGTCACTCTTTACTCCTGTTTTGAAGGAGCTGGAAGAGAAGAAAATTATACCTGAATACTATCCTTATGGCAGCCGTGGCCCTGTTGGTGCTCATTATCTTGCAGCTAAATACAATGTCCGGTGGGGTGATCTTGGCGTCGACCAGTAACGGTGAATTTCAACTTTGCTGTCAAAATGGGATTACTAATTAGTAAAATTCAACTTTGCTGTCAAAATCGGATTACTAATTAGTAAAACAGAAAGCTTTCTTTGTCAATATATTAGGTGTGCCAAAATTTTTAATCCAAAATTTATTTATCTACACGATGGCCTGGTTCTTAGGAGCATAGTGTGCAAGTAATGTAATCAACAAGGGAACGTTTGTTTCATTGCAAATGTGATTTTGCATTTGATATTTTTACAGAGGAAATAAATAGCTTGGGCAGAAGAAGACGCCAACTTCCTTTTTCTTTTTCGGATGGTTTGGTAGAAACACCAACTTCCCTATGTGCCTTTGCTATATTTTATTGGATTTAGCTAACGGGTGCAGTGCACCCGTTAAGCTACAATAAATGGAGGTAATGAGGATTTATTATGGATACTAGTCCCAGGACCCGCGCTCCATGCCGGGATTATAAAGGGAGTGAATAGCTAGTTATGAAACGACTAAATTTCGGAAACACTTTTTTGAATTGAAATATAAAAATTGCCTTTCGAGTCCTTCACCTTCATGAACATCGTAGATCATGCAAAAACCTTTTAACCGACCATTGAACAACTTCAATCGGACACGTGAATCAAAATTAGATAGACTGTCAAGTGAAGCCACCAAATTTCGGAAACATTTTTTAGAACTGAAATCTCAAATTTGACTTTTGAGTTCTTAATAAAGTTGTAAGTCATTAATTATCTTTTAATAGACACTTAAATCACATTAATCGGACAAATAGAACAAAAAGTATAAGAATTAAAGCCGAAACATTAAAGCGTCCAACCCAGAATTTGTAAAGGATTAAATAGCATAAAGTATAAAAGTATGGAGGTCATTTGACAAATAATTCAGGGAAAAAAATATTTACTAGTGATGTTTACTTTGGTGAAATCTTTAAAGCATGTGAAAATTCTGGATTTGGAAAGTACTATAAGTATGATGGATTTTTGTTTAAAGAATCTAGATTGTGTGTGCCTTTTTGTTCTTTGCATTATGTGCTTGTGAGGGAATCGCATGATGGGGGTTTAATGGGTCACTTTGGTGTTGATAGAACATATGAGATATTGCATGAACATTTCTTTTGGCCTAAGATGCGATATGATGTAGGAAAACATGTTTCTAGTTGCATTGTTTATTTGCAAGCTAAATCTACATCTAAACCTCATGGACTGTATACTCCTTTGCCTATTCCTCATGAACCATGGACACACATTATCATGAATTTTGTGTTAGGTTTACCTCGTTCTAGGAGAGGTAAAGATTCTATCTTTGTTGTTGTTGATAGGTTTTCTAAGATGGCACACTTTATTGCATGTACTAAAACGAATGATGCCATTAATGTAGCTAACTTGTTCTTTAAAGAAATTGTTAGATTGCATGGAATGCCTAGAACGATTGTTAGTGATAGAGATGCTAAGTTCTTAAGTCACTTTTGGAGAACTTTGTGGGTAAGTTAGGTAGTAAGTTGTTATTTTAAACTACTTGTCATCCTCAAACCGATAGTCAAACTGAAGTAGTTAATAAGACTTTTTCAACCTTGCTTAGCGCTTTGACTAGAAAGAACTTAAGAACTTAGGAGGATTGTCTACCTCATGTTGAATTTGCATACAATAGAAGCATACATAGTACTACTGGATATTCACTTTTTGAGATTGTGTATGGCTTTAATCTTTTAACCGCATTGGACTTGTTGAGTTTACCTTTGAGTGTGCAAGTTGACATGATTGGACAAATGTAGACACCCGTTTTTATCCTATATCCTTCAATTTAAATCAATTTATGTCTTAATAGGTATTAGGGTCACCTAGGGGCATTTCGGTCATTTCACACTAAGAGCATTTTGATCATTTTAAATTAGATTAACTAATTCATTTTTAGTCATCTAGATTTCATTCGAAAAACCCAAAAAAATAAAATTCTAATGTGCACCTTCATATCATATCATGTAGCCTTATAGTAGTACTAGACATTTGAATATACATGATCACATAGGTACAAAGCATTTTAGTTAGTCAGTAGAGGATAAGTTTTTAATATAGCACATTTACTTTCTATTTTGTCTTTAGGTTTACTAACATCTTTCTTCAGGTGATTATGGCTGGTACTATGCTTTTTTTTTTTTTTTTTTTTTTTTTTTTTTTTTTTTTTTTCACAGGTAATAGGCAAAGTAAATGTAAGCTAAGGAGACAGGACTAATATGAGCAGAGTGAAGTCATGCCCAATTTCATCATCAAGTTAGTTGTTTTTCAATGAATCCAAAGGCTAAAAATGCAAAGGCTCTTAAGATGACCAAATTAACTACAAGGGAATAATAAAGCAGTGACATAGGGAAAGCAAATGCACTCAAGGTGATGGATTAAGATGAATGTGTCAACTGCCCAATTTAGTATCTAGCTACTGTATAGTGTGCTTGTATGCAAGGGAGTTATATGAAGCAAGAATACAGAGAGTGGGTGTGTGCAGTGGAATCAAAATGAAGCAAATCACAGGATCCAGTCAATCAGGCAAATGCATTAAAAGTCAACAAATCAGTGGTAAATGGCCAATACAGACAAAGTGATTATGAAGCAAATGGACATTAAGAAACAGAAAATAGTTGGGAGGATTCTTATTTCTCCAGCGCATCATTCTTCCAATCTCATCTGAATACAGGGAACGCAGACAAAAGGACAAAAGGATTGGTTAGAGCTAAAATAGGGGAAGAGGAAAACAGAAAGGGGAGGATAAGAAAGAATCAAAGTGGTAGCTGGCAGAAGGGGGAGGAATCCTTATCTGAAAGGGAAATTCTCTCATTTTGAGAGACACAGAGAGAATTTACAGAGGGAATGGAAACTCAGTCTTGCTCTTCTCACAAGGATTGAATTTTTCTCTCACTGATGCACTCAAAAAAACAATAGTGTCTTACTGAAAAAAAAATCTTTCCCTTCCATGAACACGTATTGAATATACACAAAAATTTCAAAGGCTCTCTCACTCTTCATAGAGGCTTTCTCTTTTATTCTCTCTCATTCAGTCTCTCTCTCTTATCAATGATTCTCTCATTCTTTCTCACTTCACACACAGATTCATTCACTTCTCCCTCCTATGTTCTTCTCTCACTCTGAAACTGAAAAGGGAAAGAATTAGGGTTCGGGAATGGGATACTTTGATCTAGGGACTCCATTTCTCGAAATTAGCTTGGGGGTTTGAGAGTATAGGATGAAGAGATCAGTTTAAGAGGGAAACAGGGCTATCTTGGCGGCGGAGCCGTCGGGAATTAATAGTTTGAGCTTCGGTGGTGATAGGTCTAAGGGTTCTTGACGAGATTCTTAGCTTTTGGTCGGAGATTATGAGAAAAGAAGGAGAGGGATTCATATAGTTAGAAATCGGAGAGGTTCAGCGACGGGTTAGGAAGATTGGAGATGATGGTGTTGGTTCGGGTGAAGCCTTGTTCGGTTGGTTCTAGGCCGGGTTTGGAAAAAAGAAGGACAGTTTCGAACTGAAGATGGCGAGAGGAAGCTGCAGATGAAAGTTTGGACCAATTTACGGTCGGAATTTACTCCGTCACGGTGGTTAGGGGGCGGAGACAGTTCTAGGTGATCATTAGGGGTGGCGGCTAGGGTTTCTAAAGTTTAAGGGAAGAAGAAGAAAGATTCTTATATAGTACCCATGCCAAACCGATACAGGAACAAGAAACCCGCCTCGGTTTGGACCCGCGGAGCCTATTTCCAAAGTTGGGTATAATTCTTCACTTGGGCTTTAAATTCTTTATTACATTTGGGCTTTTATTTTTGGTTATGTATTTGGGCTTAGTGATTAGTTTGGAGTTCATATTGGTGTTTGGGTCTTATTTGCTGCAATCTATGTTAATAAATGAGTTAATCCATGCATAAGATGAAGTTACATGGTAGATTTGAGTAAAAGTTTTAGTGTTTTTTAATTTCCAAGTTGAAATCTTGAATAATTTGTTAAGTAATTATGTCATAGTTTAAGATCTAGGAATTAAGTTCAAGTTTTTGATCATGAGTAGTTCAAAATTAGTCATTTAGTCTAAAGGTTAAATTTTTGTTCTAATAAATGGCTTAGATTGGTATGTTCGTTGATGTTTGCTTATAAATCGATGGATTTTGGATATATTTAGCTTTAAGAAATAGTTCTAATTGAAAATGTCTAGTAAATGCTAAAGCTTAAACTTTTACGTTAAAATCAACTTAGAATTGAAGCTTTTGGTGTAGAGGTTTGATTCTTTTTAAGTTCATATTAGTTCAAAATGATTCTTTGATCCCGTCTAGAGTTTATTTTTAATTGGGAAGACCAAAACTTTAGTTCAAAGTTTGAATTTTCGAACTAAAATTAGCTTGGGAATTTAAGTATTGAATCATTTTTGAGCTAATTTCAATTTGAAAATCACAACTTTGAGTTAAAAGCTTGATCTTTTAAATTGAAAATGACTTAGAAAAGGGATTGATGAATTAAATTGGATTAATGTTTACTTAAAAATTAAATCTTTGGTTAGGAATTTGATTTTCTTTTAGGTTTGAGCTAGTTGAAGGATTGGTTCAAGTTTCTCATGCTAAACTCATTCAATTTGGTCCCTGATTTTGGATTTACCTTTGATTGATGCACTTTAGTCATTGATTTATATCTCTGAGACGTAATTTGTGTTTTATACTTCCTGAACTTTGCTAATTGTTTTCCTTAGTGTGCAGAAAAGTCCCCGTCTGCTGGATTTGGCCCTTAAGTTTTTGTTTCCTTTTATTTTCGGCTGAATTAAGTCCTTGGATTTGTAATAAGTTAGTAATCTAGTTAGTGATCTAGTAAGACTCAATCACATGCGTATCGTGTTTATTTGTAATTAATTATAAATGTCTGCATTTCATGCCAATTTAAGATAGTTGATAACCGTAACCCTTCCGAAGAAGGGGCATTCAGTGAGTGGTCGAGTTTTCGGGGCCGTTGAATGTCTCCGAGGATGAGAT